CACACTTCCATGTAGAAAACAGACTCTCACCCACTCAGAAGATGAGACACGACCATGGACCAGAAGCTGCACTACAGCTGCATCATTACCCACTTCAAACCCCTCCGAGCCATACATGAAGCAAACCGACACCCACTATGAAGATGCAACAGGACCACGAACTAGAAGCCAAACAGCAAGATCACAACTCACCAGCTCAAATCCCCCAGCAACTAAGACTAACCGGAGCACAGCCAAGCCCCCACCTGAACAGAACACGCCTCCAACCAATCAGAACACGGCTAACCCCCCAACCAATCAGAACACAACCAAACCCCCTACCAATGAGAACACACCCCCACCCAATCAGAACACAGCCAAGCCCCCACCCAATCAAGTCCCACCCCCACTGGCAGTTAAAAGGAGGAAGCAGCTGCAATCTCACATTACTCTGAAAAGCACAGAGCCGGAGCCAGAAGCCTGAAGATGATGAATGAGACTTCATCGAAACGTTGCCTAGATACTTCGAATCTTACGCGGGAGAAAACCCGAACAACCAAAGATCCACATATAAATACCCGCGAGAACCTCAGAAAACATATATATATATATATATATGCGAAATACCACTCACGCATCATCACAAAATCTCCAGAACCATAAGGCCTACAAATTTGGCACATATGTTCCTCTTGGCTTCTAGGGGCTCGCTAAGAAAGGATTTTTCAAAATGACCATCAGAGCTTTAGTATTTCCTATATTATTATTACTATTAACACACTCTGATGCTAAGGATTTCTACTCACCCTCCCCACCTGAAAAGAAATCTGTTCCAAATGCAAAACACAAGCAGAGGAGAGGAGTTTCCGTTTCACAGCTGCAACCAGTTTTAGTACAGAACAGTTGAGCTAAGCCATGCCCAGGCTCCTTGCTGTCTCTTTCTCGCTCATATAGCAAATACTGTTTCAATTTCCAAACAGTCGTCAGCTCTCATACACACTGACAGGACGTTAGCCAGTTGAATACTGATGGATGCTGGTAGGCAGAGGCAGAATTTTTCCCTTATTTTCCTCCCAAAAAACTAAGCCCGGCCACATAGTTTTGCAGGGAAGCAGGGCTATGGAGCTCATATATAGAATTAGATAAACCCATCCCTTCAAGCTGGACGGCTTGCATTCCAAATAGGATTAATTCATCCTTTCTCTTGTTTTATTATTTTCTGTATTGTTTTCCCTTTCAGCCTGCAAGCCGGATATGTGTAATCTGTTGAAATTTTAAGACTCTGATAATATCATTTGGATGAGTCCCACCCTATAAAAGGAAAGGGGAGGATATCTGATCACTCAGCTGTTCCCCACAAACCCTGAAAGGGGGCTTGAGGCTATGTTAACACTGCAGGGAAAAGAACTATTAAACACATTGCTGTATTTTAACTACGGGCAAACAGATGGACGGATCAATAAAAATAAAAAACCCACAGTCATATTCAACCAATCCTGTAAAAGGTGTTCAACCTTGGCAACTTTAAGACTTAGGGACTTCAACACCCAGAATTCTCCAGCCAACATGAAACCTTAACTCATTAAAAGGCAGTAGATTTACATCAGGTGTATCCAAGCTTGGCAACTTTAAACCTCCTGGACTTCAACTCCCAGAATCCCCCAGCCAGCATATATTCAGGAAGCTGAAGTCCACAGGACTTAAAGTTGCCAACCTTGGACATCCCTATTCTAAGGCAAATCGAAGCAAGCCATAGTATGACTTAAATTAACCCTGGCAACTTCCACGTAGGTGGGCTTCAGCTGACTGTGGACTTAAGAGTTATGGAACCACTCTTTGGTTTATCCCATGTGGTGTCACTTCTACACACCTGGTGGGATTTCTGCTTTGCCACTCGGAGGACGCCACAAAAGAGCTTTGGGGCAACCGATCCTCTCGCCATCTTGGTGCTGTTGTCGGCAACCCTAAAGAGATAAGGAAACTTCTTGTCTTTGGAGATTCTCAGATTCTCCCAAAGGACAATTGCATCATTAATCATCATCCTCTTTTAACAATCCCATAATCCCTTGCAGGGTAGAATCTGAGCAAGTGGAGACTGACTCTGAGGAAGAGGAGGAACAGGGAGTGGAAGTGTGGCTCCAGAGGTGGTGGAGGAGGCTGGGGAAGGGCAGAAGCTGGCTGAGCAGTCAGGGGAAGACCCAGGCCCATCCCCTCTCCATCCTAGGGCATGCAGGGAAGAGGGGATCAGGGTAAAACGTGGTCTACTCAGGAGCAAAGGGCCATGATCCTCTTCATGGGTTGCAGGTGTGAGATCTGCATAAGAGTTTGGACCTGCGTGCTAACAGACGCTGGAGACAAATTAGTGTTTTATTCCTAAAGAAGGTTTATCTTGGTTGGAGTTCTTCCAACGGACTGTCCCTGGTTATCTTCCTGAAGTTGGCAATTATCTATCCTGGTCTGTCGTGGAACTTTATTCAGTGTGGTTTGTTTTTGGCTTTTGCTTCGTTATCGGCTCTTTGCATTTGAACTGTGTTTCTTTCCTTTGAAATGTTATTTTGAAAATAGTTTACTTCTCCTCCACTGCGAACAATGAAACAGCGAAGCCAAGTTGAAGGCATTAGAGGACTTTTAGTTACGTTTTTGGTTTTTGCTATATTTCTGATATACTCTGGGTCATCACAGCAACTGAATGGAGCTTAATTTTTACTGGCCGGATGCCCTTCCTGTCATCAATGAGGAGTTTTTTCCCCCCAGTATATAAATTCTCATCTCTACCTAGGATTGATCTAGCAGCCTCCTGATTATGAGCTCCACCTCCAGCCCACCACAATCATTCAATTGCATCATTAATAATATTTTTTTAAAAAAAATCTTGCATATTTTGGGTTCATTTTTTTTCTTGCTTCAGCAATTTTCCTTCTCTGGCAATTCTACAGAAGGTTCTTTCTTGATACAAGGACCAGAATTGGTACAGGGAAAATAATCCAACGAAGCCAAGAACTGACCATACATGATAGAGATCATTTCGAAATACCAGCGCCAACTCACCATTCTGGCAAGGGTGAGGGTTGTCGGCTTTGGAAAGGGTACTTTTGAAGGTCTGGTCTTCTTATCTTCCTTCTTTGGTGATGAGAGGTCATCTACCGTGGAAGACAACGACTGGCGCCTTGAAAGATTCCCTGATTTCCGCCTTAAAGATTCCACCAACACGGCACACTGAAAATAAACCCACCAGTCCCCAAATGCATTGAGGCAGATTTCATGGAAGAACAGAACCGTAACTTCTAACAGGAATGAATTCAAAAGGAAATCAATAGCAAATTTTTCCTATTTAAAAGGAGATCCGTGAAGTGTGTATTTCTAACAACAAGAGCCAGAGTGGCGCAGTGGTTAGAGTGCGGTACTGCAGGCTACTTCTGCTGGCTGCCTGCAATTTGGCAGTTCGAATCTCACCAGGCTCAAGGTTGACTCAGCTTTCCATCCTTGTTGGGGGCCATAGGCTGACTCTTTAAACCGCTTAAAGAGGGCTGCGAAGCACCGTGAAGCGGTATATAAGTCTAAGTGCTATTGCTACTGCTAACCTGGGAACAGACCAGAGCAAAATTCGTAAATAAATTCCTGTTCTCCACACCAAAACTACCCATGTAGACATCAATACATTTTTTTTGATTGTATGAATTGTTGCTCTTCTTCAAATCTATTTCCATGGATGGGAAAGAAAAGAGATGAAATAAAATAATGGGTTCTGAAGCCTGGGTCTACTGTAAATTTGGAATCAGGCTTCTTGCTCTAACTCTGGTATTGGATGACCCATTATGGTCACCAGATTTCTGCTGCAAAAATCCCAACCACCACTAGAGGGCCACGAGGAGTAAGAGATTTCTGGGTGCCTTTGCTGCCATCTTGTGGTCGTTTATATTTACCTAGCTCAGATCTAGTAAATACATCCTAGAAACTGAGGTGGGGAATGCAAGCTGACCTCAATGGTTGTGCAAAAGTGCAAAAGGCTACGTCCAGATGTTTGAACCACTGCATCCTCCTCGTGGTAAAGAGATGTAGCTTAAAAGAAAGTCAAGTTTTGAAAGGTCTGAGATCCAACCTTGTGTGAGTAGTGAACTGCTTTCTCCATTTCAGATAGGATAAGGCTGATGTCATCGCTTTCATTGATCCCTAGATATCCAGAAGGCAAGGAGGAATTAAAAAAAACCAAAAAACCAAATATAAACTACGTTTTTGAAATGATGCAATCCCATTTTTACAAAGATGGTCAGAACACACAACCACACAGATACACATATACACCTCTTGGGAACATTTTGGGAATGCTACAATTGTTTTTGATGGAGGCTAAGAGAGGTCAGATTCATGCAACGTTTTCCCCCCGGTTCCTCCTCCTTTCTCTTCCCCCTCCTCTTCCTTCTCCTCTTTTCTCCCCCTTCTTCTTCCTCTTCCTCTTCCCCTCTCCTCTCCTCTCTTTCGCCTCTTCCTCCTTTCTCCTCCTCCTTTCTCTTCTTCTTCCTCTCTCCCCTCCTCTGTTCCTCTTCCTTTCTCCTCCTCTTCCTCTCTCCTCTCCTCTCTTCCGCCACCTCCTCCTTTCTCCTCCTCCTCCTTTCTCTTCCTCCTCCTCTTCCTCTCTCCTCTCCTCTCT